CAATGAAAGACGCCCCTGCGATTTAGCATGGCCCTCTCCGCGGCGCTATTGGCGCGGCACGCCTACCGACTGGCTAACCACTCGCCGCAAGTCTCTAGCCGTTTAGCAGAGAGAGCGTTAGCGTTGAAGAAAACAGCACGATGAGAGTCAAATCAATGTGGAAGTCAACGGGCAGGAGTCGAGCGGGTCCCATTTTCTCGGGTTCTTCAGGTGTTTTCTTCTTCCAGCCCCATTAACCACCTCTACCCTGATCCTAATGGGCGGCCCTCCAATCATAAACTCGCACTTTGGAGTGAACACAAATAACGTAGAACTGTGGTTTGAGTACCATTCCATTAGAGTGGAATGTCTGCCGGTAAACCTATTCAGATAAACCGGAAAATTTGGAATGTTGACTATAAAAACGGTCAAATGGCGTCGTAGGGCGCGATTTCTTTCTCGTAGTGGTTTCGGGAGGGGAACCATACCGAGTGGACAAGACACAACTGTGCGACGATGGCTAGCGACATATTATAATTTTGTCATGCGGCATCTCGGTTCTTTGATCATTACTTTTTTCGTAGCAGTAGGAGCATCATCCACTCATTAGTACGTCTTAGAATTTAGTCGTTTTTCTCGCTGTAATGGCAAAGCACGATTCTCAATTCTTACAGTTGATTCAAACAATTGCTCACATCTAGTGAAAATCAACAGCTCAAACGTTTCTGCATTAAAATGGTTTTCCCTTCTTAGGTGGATACGCTAATGTTTGCTGGCCACGACACAACATCAACATCATCCAGCTGGGTTCTATTTCTTCTTGGCTGCTATCCAGAAATACAGAAAAAGGTCCAGGTAAGAATGTACGTTTGCTTAGAGCAGCATTTCGCAGTATTATTGAATTCCAATTCTTTCCTTACTTTTCGGACAAGAATTTGAGTTTTTCTGAGCATCTGTGTAGTTTTACATTTACTAACTTTACTTGTCTGCTTCCTTTGAAGTGTAAAGGTACCAAAATTTGGGCAGGTTTCTCGCTCATTACCCTCACTGGCATTGAGGTAACCTTGCTGTGAATTGCTTTTTTCACAGAGAACTGACACATGTAGTTGTGACTTTGTTGACAGGCCGAATAAGTACAACGTTTCAGGAAGAGATAGATGAGGTGTTGGACGGCAGTGACTACATTTTGCCTGAACATCTTCCGCAACTTAAATATTTGGAATGCTGTGTAAAGGTCAGCTCATTGATTCATTGAATCTATCAGTTATGTACGCTTATCTTACCGAAGTACAGGGCATTAAGTAAAACTCAGTTTACAGGAGTCGCTTCGAGTGTGTACACCAGTTCCGATGATAATGCGTCAACTGGGTTGCGATCAAGAACTGGAGGGTGTCACATTGCCAGAAGGAACACAGGTGGTTATCAATCAGTATATGGTCCACCGGGACCCGGCACACTGGCCGGATCCAGAGAAATTCGATCCTGACAGGTGGAGTAAATTTTCCATTATCGGTAAAGTGATTGGACCCTTCAAAAACTGATCCCTTAAAAATGGTAATCGTCTTACCGTTCAGGTTCCTTCCTGATAATAGTGTTGGCCGCCATCCATTCGCTTTCATACCGTTTTCGGCTGGTAGTCGCAATTGCATTGGGCAGAGGTTTGTTTCTTTTGTGCAGTTCTCACCATTTCCTTCACAGAATGCGAGGGAGAGAAATATGGTAAGCTGTGATTAAGAAGGTGAGCGTATTATACGAACTAAAAACTTGCAGCCGGGTGTCTTCCACTGTATAGATAGATGGGCGAGAAGCAAATGCGGGTGACACCTTCTCGTCTGCCCACTGCACGTCTGACAAGACTTCACTTGCGCAGTTC